CTTCAACAATTTCCATCCCACAAACTATGCACTTGGAGCTGTATTCAAATTCCAAATGGTTTTAGCCATCACATTCCTCTCACCCTGACATCTACTCATTTGCCATGCTGATTTAACAGAAAAACACCTAGATTTAGAATTTTTCCAAACCAATTTATCATCCAAAGCAGAAAGCTTAAGCCCGGCATTCAAAATTTCATCTCAGTTCCACATTCAACAAATGCTCTACCTGGGTCAGCTGCCAATTAAAATCAACCACCAAATCACACACTTTAGGAAAAAACTGTGGCACACTCCCAATTCTATGCAGCAAAGGTCTATCTCCCAACCATACATCACACCAAAAATCTGTCTTTGCCCCATTACCAATCAAAATTCTAGACTGCATCACCACCTTTTCAAAATATGGTTTCAAAAATTCAAGACATTTAAAGTGACTCTTCCCCAGACATCTCAATACATGTTTACCCCTCAAAAAACTTTGTAGAGAATACTTGAGCCCATAGTGAGGACCCCTATAAAAGATTCCACACCTGTTTCATTCGAAAAACCTCCTGCAATTCCTCAAACTTTCTCAACCCCAAACCCCTTCAGCTTTGGGCATAGTAATTTTCTTCCATGACACCCAAAGTCTCTTTCTAACATCCAACTTACCAGACGATATAAAACCTGCTATCATAACATTCAGTCTGCCCAATATAGCTTTAGGTAAATTCTGACATGCTAGAAGATGTATTGGAACAGAGCTCAAAACTAACTACACCATTAATACTCTGCCAATATTCGACAACACTTTCAAATACCAACCTTCAATTTTGTTTCTAAATTTTATTAAGATCTCCTCAAAATATCTAATCCTCGATCTACCCCTAATAATAGGACACCCAAGGTATGTAAAAAGACAACATCTTACCAGAATACCAGCCATGGCGGACAACTCCTGCCTCCTATTTCCAGAAATAGACTTTGAACAAAACATTGAACTCTTGGCCATACTAATTCTCTGACCAGAACAAGATTCATATGATTCCAAAAACTTCATTAAATTCTTCAATGACTGCTTGTATCCCTTTGGAAAAACTAAGGTATCATCCGCAAACCTGTAAAAAGAAGTTCAAAAATACTTAATGAAGTGTCCCATCTCAACTTAACAAAACTTTGTATCCCAATTATTTTAAATTGGCATTCTACTCTCTGATTCATGTGTTCTGCTAGAGCACGAGTAATTATATCTATGTTAACTACTGTCATAGACTGTTTCTCTTATCCACTGCTGCTGAATTCTTTCAGCATGTGGACTTTTAATTTAGCATTTCAGCTACGTCCCCAGTTAGGTTACTTATTCAAAACTCTTGGAATTTTAAAATTCGATATCAGCTGGACTCCTACTTACTTCAATTAATTTGCCGCTGCTCATCTGCACCAACGTACATTGTTTCACTGGTGGATTTCTTCTGGACTCTTATCCACTTCATAGCTGTTTTAAACTCTTGACTCTTATACCATAATTTCCAATTAGGAAATATGTCTTTATGTCTAGTTTCTTTGATGATTTGTTTTATTTCTGGTAATGGGCAAGTTATGCATTTTGGTGATTTTATTGAAACATTAATATAAATTAAGGTTTCAATTCTATGCATGCATGCATGAAACCTTATTACCCGTTCAAGAATCCACATCGGACATAGAGTATTCTTTGCCCGTGGAGATTTCTTGAATTGTCCAATTTCAAACAGTTTGGGAATGCACTACTTTATATTATATTTAATATCTCTTCGCTCAATTTGTTACATCTCTTGGATATTCTGTGTGGCAGATCCCATTGTTTTTTGTGTACATACTAGACGGGTGTAGCAACGACACCTAATCTATGTCATGTACTTGGAGAACTTTGGGGAGATGCTACCGGATTTCCATTAGAGATGTACGAAGTGGTAAGAGATGCTTCCTATGATATAGAATGTGCATTCCTAAATGGGATAGGACCACCTACCAAAATAGGAAGGAGTTGACGACATAGTTTGCATGATGCTTCATACATGACATTGATAAATATGTGATTTTGTAGGCTATCAATTATGGACAAGAGTTGGATGAAAATTAGGCGTAGGTTGGATTCGAAATACATTGATGAGGTCAAATATTTTGTCCATTTTGCCATGGAATGTTCGAGTTGAGATAGAAAAATTTGATGTCTATGTAGGAATTGCATGAATGCAGAATGACATGATGATAAGATTGTGAAAAATTATTTGTACGTTAAAGGGATCATGACCTCTTACACGATGTGGGTACACCATGGGGAACCTGTTCCTATGAATATCACTCAATTCTTTGAAGATGATGATGATGATGATGATAGTGTCGAGGATCATATGACCGACAGCGAAGATGATGATCGAGAAGAAATACCAGAAATGTTGGAAGATGTTGGTAGGAGAATGTTCATGTATAATGATTTAGGGGGTGTTCATGCTAGAGAAACATGTGAGGGTGTTGATAGTGAGGAAGTTTAAACTTTTGAAAAATTACTGAAAGATGCTCAATGTGTTTTGTATCCTGGTTGCAAAAAATATACCCTATTGTCGTTATTGGTTAAGTTGCTTCATTTGAAGGTATTGAACAAGTGGAACAATAAATTATTAACATTGTTGTTAGAGCTATTGGTAGACCTTTTACCTAAAGGTCATATTCTTCCAACGTCTGTCTATGATGCTAAAAAATTCTTATGAGCTTTGGGATTGGGATACATGTCTATTCATGCATGTAGATACAATTGTATGCTATTTTGGTAGGAGAATGAAAAATTGGATAATTGTACAGTATGTGGGAAGTCAATATATCAGCTCAATGATTGTAAGGGTAAGAAGATACCTCATAAGATCTTGGAATACTTTCCATTGAAACCGAGGTTACAAAGATTGTTTATGTTGAGGAAGACGACTATAGATATGAGGTGGCACCAAGAGAAGCGAGTGGATGATGAAAATTATTCAAGGCATCCTGGTGATTCTGAAGAATGGAAAGATTTTGATAAGCAATATCCTGATTTCGCTTAGGACGCTCGTAATGTTAGGCTTGGATTGACCACTAATGGTTTTAACCTTTTTGGGAACATGAACAACTCTTACAGTATGTGGCCTGTGATCTTGATGTCTTACAATATGCCTCCCTGAAATTGTATGAGTGATCCAATCTTCATGATGTATTTGCTTATTCCAGGAACATAGGCACCCAGGAAGGATATTGACGTATACTTGCGCCCGTTAATTGATAAGTTGAAAGAATTGTGGGAAGGTGTTGTTGTTGGTTTTTTTTTATGGAGTCTAGTTTGTACATGTGATTCGGATGATGACCCGACCCGAAGTAATGTTGTGTGATTTTTTAATGGAAAATTTTTTTGGGCCCGTTATACAGCCCAGTGCGTAGGACAT